CAGTTTGTCTATAGGCTGAAGATGAAGGATGGGTGAGCAAAGGCAGGAACAACAAACCTGTATTTATCCAGAACCGATTGCTGCAGTCTCCAACACAGACAGCGCGCTGGGGCTGTGGCTGCCATCCCAGCTCAGAGGCTGCAACGGCTGCTGCAAAGCAGGAGGGTTGTGCAGTAACCCCAAATCCTGGTCTTGAGTGGGTTCATTGCTCCTCATCTGCCCAGCCATGTTTTCGTGCTGAACAAGATGCAAGCTGAGCAAATAGACCTGGTTTTATCCTCAGCACAGTACACAAGTGCGCTCCGCTGTATTCACTGCGTGATCACTGAATATTTCAATATATGGAGAAATATGCCTCCTGCGCTACAGCCTACCTATATTCCACGTGTTGCTAAAAAGTCCTCCAAAATCACAGCCACTGTAGTGTATGTGTACGAAGTATGATTTTCAAAGGCTCAAAACTCATTCAAATCAAAATCAATTTGCAGAGGAACCCTCAAAGGCACTTCTTGTCAATGAGGGAGGTTTCCCTACCAAATTTCAGATTTCAGCTCTAACCATTCCAGAGACAGAGTTGATCCAAATGAAAAGCGAGAAGAATGTTATTTTAAGCATGTGCATTTCCCACTCCATGGATACTCAGAAAACGGCTGAATGATTTATGAGAGGTTTTTTCTTTTTAATATGTAAAATCATGAGAAAAAGATAAATCTACAAAACATCAAGCATTAAAATGAAGATTTCTAAAAATGATGGATAAGCATTTGTAGATTCACTGTGATCATCCAGGCTATGGCAACTTTAAGTAAAATATCCTCAAGATACGAAGCCAAATATTTAAATGTTTTATAAAATGAAAGAATGGTTGGAAAACTAGTTCATAAAATGCACAAGTACATTATGATAAATGTACTGGGCAGTTACAAGAATTTGGATCCTTTCTTTTACAAACAAAAAGGGAAAGTAATGTTGTGTTTTAAAGGACTGAAAGCATTGAAGCCAGACATTTCTGTAGCAGCTACTGAAACAAGATGCCATGGAAGATCGGTGTCTTTGAGAAAGCAAGTGTGGAAAATAGAACAGAAAGGAAGTAGGCAGTACTTTAGGTTTTCTAGGAACCTTTGAGTGTTCATTTCTACTGCATGCTTTATTTAAAACCTTTTTCTCTTTAAAAAAAGGGTTCAATATATCTATAAAGTATGTCAGACAGTTTAGTGTTTTGTTATCAAAGCAGTGTATTTGAAACGTCCAAGATTTCATTGAAATGCTTGGCTGCAATCGTATTCAGTAAATATGAGAAACTATCTTTGCTTTTTTAACAGGATGTTATGTTTGATATTTTAGGTTGGCATGACAACTGAAGAAATAGATTCCATTGTTCATCATGAAATAATCAGACAGAATGCCTATCCGTCACCTCTGGGCTATGGAGGTTTTCCAAAATCTGTTTGTACTTCTGTAAACAACGTGGTATGTCATGGTATTCCTGACAGGTATTTCCCCAGTAATACACATTTTACCA